GTTTAGAAATCTCTCGGGGTTGAATCTTTCAATAATAGTTCAGAGTAGTCATTCTATTTTGCTGTGTTTGTTTGTTTGTTCACATATTCCCTATCTAATGCAAGGTAATTTCTTTATTTTAAGTTCTCTGATGGATTCAGATTATATATATCTTTGAGGCATTTTTTTTTTTGTTACAAGATTCTTACTAAGAAGTATCTCTTGGCCGAGTATAATATTAACAATACTATATTATGGATTTTCTTTTAAATTCCAGTTTTGGAGCTAAGAAAATGTAGTTCCTTTTCAATAGATACTCTTTAAGCACTACTACTTACCTTTTCTATCTCAAGGTGAAAAATCGTAAGTAGTGAAGGGCTTGGGTGTTGGGTGCGGCCTTATCACTGCCATGATGTTAAGAAACTCTCCTGCTACATGTCTTTTACATTTAGGATGATTTAATTTGTGTGTCTTACTATACTCTCTAAAGTTTTAAAAAGTATTTGGTGGTTGCTATACATAGCTCACGACAAGAGTTCATGTTGGAAAGTTTTTACATAAGAATCACACCATTAGAAGGCAGAGATAGAGGGACATTGCTCTTATTACCACTGGTGTAGCAGCAGATTTATTTAAGCTATTTAGCTTCCTTTATATTTTGCATTAATTCAATAAGATTGTGATTGATTAAATTATTAGAGCTTTTGCAAAGATTATAGGTTATTTGCAATTCAAGAGAGTGTTTATGTGAAGACATGGATAGACTGAGATTAAACTCATACTTAATCTCTTTTTACAGGATGATTTCAGTTAAGGTATACTATTTCTAACCACTTAAAACATAAAATACTATTTCATACTATTTCTAACCACTTAAAATTGCACGTAAAATGTGTCTCCATGAATTTTAAACTCACAAATCTTAAAGCATTAAAATTTGTTTAGCTTCAAGTTTGTGCACCCTTACTCTTTATCCCTTCATTTTTTTCTAATTTTTGGATGCAGTATAAGTATATACGTAGTATGAAAGACTCTTCAATTTTTTCTTTAATTTACATGAGGCTGCTGTAGTAGGTGTGAAATGTTGAGACTTTGATGTGTCTAATTCATGTCATCAGGTACATTAACACTTCAGATGCCAACTTGGAGCTACGGGTGGATATGTTCCTTTTAGAACAAGTAGATTCTTGAAAGAATATTATCTCTAAAGGATCACACAAGGAAGGCGATATTGTACAAAGACGTTTGTGATTATTTTAGTGAGTCTTTTATGGAAGGTGAACGGAAGTCTATTTCTTTATGACAAATATGTCATGTAGTTCAAATCGGTGGGCTAATATCATTGAATGAGAATACAAGTATTTAAAAAAAATTCAATGTCGTGTATAACAGGATGACCCCGGAAACAAGTCGATTTTGACCAAAGACGTCTGAGATGGCATTCTATATAAACTTGGTCACATTTGGTCAATAGCTATATAAAAGGACAAGTTTTCACTTCAGAACTAAAAAGGATACCGCACATTATACACTGAGTGTGCTTATAAAATTTGCAGTGAGGAAAGGCTTAGCCCCACAAATAATTGTTATTTTGGCAATACTTCTTGATTTTACTTTCTGTTATACTTAATAATGTGTAATTAACTGAATGATCAAAATATACAGTATTATTATATGTGGCAATAATGTGACACCAACCAAGAGAATAATTTTATATGGCTTTATCACAATTTATTATAGCATCTAACATAATTTAAGTTGTTATATAAAAAGTCTGTATTTAATGCATTCATTTTAATATTTCTACATTTCATAAACTTCAACAATTTGCATTCCGTGCAAAGCACATGATGCAAATCAATGAATGGAGATAATATTTTGGTTCCATTATATAAATGATAGCATATAAGTTTTTCAACATGATTTTTTTTAATGTTAGTGTTGACACTTATCTCCGACATTGAGGATGTTTGGAGTACTCCGCAATCATTATCCAAGTGACCTTCTGAATAAGAGATTGATTGTGGAATTCAAGTTGGGGCATCCACTCGAGGTTCAACTACTAAGAACCAAAAATGACCAAGATAGAGAAACCACAAATTATTATCCAATTTTATTTTTTTGTTTCACTTAGCTTTTTGGTTTTGCATTTATATGATCTTAATTGTTATTTACGTTTTCATGATTTTATTTTTCAACTAACATGTTTTCATCAGATTATTAGTTCAACATTTTTCTTGTGATTCACATTAATTAAGAGTTTGCTTTCGAAGTATGATGTTACATGCTACTGTTAGCATAGGGTTATATCATTTGCAATTGTGATATCATAAAACTGAAGTATGTAGTATGATTAGAAATACTGCCCAAGGAAAAATTAATGTTATATGCATAAAATTGTTATTTGTGTACGGAGTATATGAGGTGCAATTAGGATTTCATAAAAATGAATAATTCTAAATTTCCAACTGTGATATATTTCTCTGTTTCAGAAAATAGCTTTTCTATTTTTCAACTACATTTTTTTAATATTCACTTTTACATTTAAATTTTAGAATTCTTATGTACTTCTAAATGATAACATGTTACTAATTGTGTTTATCCGTATTTATTTACTACTTTTTCGTATAATATTTGTTGATGATAATATTCGGATGTCTTAAATCAGAAATATAATTAAAAAAGAAAGTAAAATCGGAGTTCAAGTTAAAGAACAATCGTTACCCGTATCTTTTTAGGTAACATTTACCCGTATAATATATACTTTGACTATAGGTGGTAACATATGACTAATGGTGTTTATCACTATTTGGGATAACATTTATTGATGATAGTATTCAGATTTTTCAGATCGAAATAGACGTAAAAAATTAAACTAGAATTGAAGTTGAAGAGCAATTAGGGCTTTCTACTTCAATTCCAGTTTAAATCGTAAATGTTACTTCTACTCTAACTGAAAGATTAATAATTAATCAATGTGTAGTTAAAGAGTTGTAAACTTAACCAACTAGGGCTTTCTATACGTTACTTTAGAGACTATGGTTATAAGACTTAAAAGTAGAAAATATTATCTAATGAAAATATTTTAAAAAGAATAATTAAAAGTAGAGTTTCAATATCAATACAACTACATTAGGATTTTCTTCAATTACAATTGTATTCATTTTTTGTTTCTATTAGTGGGATGCACGTTTGTATTCAACGCATGGCGTTGAAGTTGACAAAGAATAAGAGACTCACACGTGTGGGAGGAACATCTTACACTTTAGAAATTTAAAACATTGCCAAATGGATTTTGAAGATTGGAGATGGGATCTTAGAGGACGGTGACGATGGAGAAACAATGGTGTGACATCCCCGAATAATTTATTGCTCCTATGATGGATGGTCCTATTGAAACTATTGGTAAGATCACCTATCCCGATCTTGAAATGCATTGATGAACGCATTTTAGGGGAATTCTTGTGCCAAGCATAGATGAAAATCGACAAGATCAACGATTATATGTTGGGACTAACTCCAGGTGAGGTAAAGACATCCTTGAGCTCAGATTCGGCATCTTCTTCGGACTCAGACAGTGCACTCCTTCAAGAGATCCACTCTCCAGAATTTCTGAATACCATTAAATGCTCTGGTGTACCAAGCTCTGAGGTGAAGCTTAAAGTGGGTGCACCTGTGATGCTAATAAGGAATATCGATCATTCTTCGGAATTGTGTAATGCAACTCGCCTTATCATCACTAAACCCGGTACGCATATTCTAGAAGCTCAGATGATGTAAGGAATAAATGCATGACAAAAGTTCCTTATTGCGAAACTTGGCTTGAATCCATCTGACCTAAAGTTGTCATTCACATTTCAGCGTAGGCAATCTCTTTGATGGTTAATCACACGGTGACCATCAACAAAATTCAGGGATATATAATTTTTGAAGAGGGTTGATTTTTTCTTACGTCGTTTGGTTTTCACCCATGGGCAACTTTACGTCGCGATCTCAAGAATAACGTCATCGTGTGGATCGAAGATCGAAATTTATTGTATGTGATGATAACGGAAAACCAACCAAGAAGACTTAAATGTTTTTTACAAGTTGATAATATTTTGAATTTTTTTTTAATCTTCACTTACTTTCTTAAAAATAGTTTATTCGTTGTTCTATCTTTATGACATCATTTCTATATATTTGCAAATGATTTTTGCTTACTAATTGCATCCCGTGCGAAGCACGGGTGAAAAATCTAGTTATCCCTTAAATAATACTCCGGTAGTAATTATTTAGGGAGATGCTACGCGCGCCTCCAATATTGCTCTGCGCACCCACCTTTTGTCAATTGTGGACAAGTTTGTCCTTAATTAGTCAAAGTTCATGTCACTTCTAATTTGCAAGGCGCACAACCTGCGTAAAGCATCTCCCTTCATTTAATTGATTTTTCATTTATTGTGTCTTATTGCTTTTTAAAAATAAAAATACGTTTTAATGTTTCATAAAAATTTGTGTAACATGTTTCTAAAACACAACGGTGACTATCTTTCAAATACATTCAACGTCCTAATATAATTAATATAATCAGGATTAAATTTTTTAACTTCCATCAAACAACTACTATATAAATATTTGTAACTCATTATTAATACTTTTATAAATTTTTTACAATCTTCTTATACAATGGAGAATGAATCTGAAAATTATCTAAAAAGTAGTACTCTTGATTTTCAGACTTATGATGTATTCATTTGCCCCACTATTTGTATCTCAGTTCTTCCTTTTGATATGTTTCATTAAGTTTTTTTGTTGACAGAGTTACATTAAGTTTCTCGTAAACAATATTCGTTAATATTTTGATGATCACGTATATACTTTTTTATTCATCTTTGTATTGAATACTATTGTCTATATTCTATTATCATCTAACTATGATATGATAATATCTAGAATGTTTTTAGTTGAGATGTTTTCGATCTCGGATCAGACCAAATCAAAATTCGGTAGTTGTACAACACATATACAAAAGAACACGCGCACCCACATAAACAAACATCTAATAGGACAGACTAGTTTAGACTAGACAATAAGATTATTGATAGTATAACAATAAATTAATGACACCCAATAAATAAATCTCTGTCACACTAATAAGTACACTTCAAATTGCAATTGTCTTTTTATAAATTAACGGCTCCTATATATAATTTAGAATGCTAGTTTAATATATTTTTATAAATCCAAAGTTTTAATATAAATAAGCATTATTAATTTTTTGACCATATATGTTACATTGTTACTCCGTACATAACTAGATTTCGGACGCGAATGATACTTAGAATATTTTTAATTGAATTGATTTCGATCTAGACAAATTCAACAAATGAGTTCAGATCAAACTAGAGTAGATTTAAAAAATACTACGTAGTAAATATACATTAATCAGCTGTTCAACAGACTTCACCAAATGTTTTTTTTTTTAAATTTTTACATATATGATATTGATGTCATATATGATATTGATGTCAGATCATAAAAAATTATTTAATTTGATATATTTTTTATAAAAGTAGCACCAAAATTAGAAAAGTAATAACATTTTATAAAAAAAAAGGCAAATTGGCCACATGGCAACAAATTGTTGGAGGGAGGGTAAATGTCAAATTGTTAGACTTGGCTCTTGTGAGCTGTGATCCTATCATTCCTACGAGAATTTAAAATTAAAAAATTAAAAATCAATAATGAAGGAAGATGTTTTACGTCGCACATTAGGAGTGACGTGAACTTTGACCAAGGACAAAATTGTCTAGAATTGCACAAATTGGGTGCGCCCAGCAATGTTGGAGGCGCGCGCAGCAGCTACGATTATTTAATTCTTAACAATTTAAAATGATAAGTACGTTTCACGTCAAAAGAATACCAACATTCACAACCGGCTCAATGGTAATTGGAAACGCACAATCATTCCTTCATTCACATCTAGGTAGCACGCAAGCTTTCCAAAAAGAGTACCTGTTTCTCAAACTTCATGAAAATTCTTTGGAAACTCTCCAAACAAGCATTTTTTGAAAAAAAGTTAACGTCTTCGATTTCTTGTTTGTTTATGATTTTCGCGATTTCGCGCAACATAAATTTCCACGCATGTTTGATTCCAATCAACCACTTATAGATTTTGTTTTAGTTTTTCTTCTGCTTGAATGTTTTTGAGCATTCGTTAATTGCTCCCACAACGGTTATTTTGTTTGTCTTTATATCATGACATTCAATCTTCCTTTGGGTCATTTTGATACGCAATTCTTCTGACTTGACTCTATTTACAATCTATTTACAATCTTCATGTAAATAGATCTTCATTTTGGGTCATTTTGTTCATAGATCTTCTCAATCTATTTACAATCTTCATGTACTTCTTTTTCTTTTATGTGCCTGCAATGAGATCACAACCACTATGACACAAATGTGACAGCAAAGGAAATGGAGTTACAAAGGAGCACAAACTTTTTAATCAACGTGGTAGCTATTAATAACCTCTTTCAAATGAAGTTAAAGTTATATAGCAGGCTATTGACAATGAGCGAGGCAACTAGTTAAATAAGATAATATACTTACCCTAATTTTTGTAATCCATTTCTAGGCAGAGAAAGATCCTTCTTGTCTGAAAGTGATATCAAAGCTTGCTTTCTCCCTATTTTTTTTTTCAAAACACAGAAGGCAAACTTAACGATAACAGAATTTGAAGACTTGCCTTACAGGGTTATTATAATTTTAAGCAAAACATAAAACCAATAGCTAGAGAACTTTATATATAACATTATACCTTATACTAGCATTGGATGGATCAACTGCTCAGGCTCTAAAATGAAAAAATTGCACTATCTTGTTCAGTGAGCAGTTTTCGTCCTTTCTGCTTCCCTTTTTTGACACCTCTAATCTTTTTCTTGACATTTTCAGAATAGAAGTAGATTAATGTGATAACTATCCGGTGAAGGAAGCCCTCCAGCATTGATTTAGCTTCATGATGAAGTGTTTTACAGATCTCATATTTTGTTTGCAGCCCTAACCCCAGATATACTCTGTATGGTGAAATAGAGGACATTGAGTACCCAACTTTACTAGTATAAAACTTCAAGCATTCCCATGCACCCATTTGACTCTTGCTACCAGTAAGCTCAATTAGTTGCATCAAAATGAGGCAACAGAAGAAATTGTTACCTTAAGTAACTCTGCAATTTCTTTGCTATGACATACTTCCGTTATTAGTGCCTGGCATGAAAACGTAGAAAAATAACACATCAAGATGTCAAATAATGCAAATAAAAATTAAGTAGAAAATATGAGTCAAAAGAAGAATCTAAATCACAACTGAAGCTGATATACAAAATAATCCATGACTTGTAAATTTAAAATCATCATAACAGAAAGCGGATTCTAAATATCGAGATGTACTAATTTGTGGTTTTCGAATCAAACACTTTCCGAATTCAGATACAAATTAGCAAATTATATTCAGACTTTTGAATTATAAGTTTACAAATCAACAGATTAATGTGACATCAACTTTACAAAATTAGGTTAGAAACTTATAAGGTCAGAAATTAAGTCGGAGGTAGATGGAGGTCAAACTAAAGAAAATTGAAGGAACTACCTTTTGCTTGAGTTTTGTTTATCAGCAAGGAGCAGTCAGCAAGCAAGGTTATCCTCATGTTTTGAGGATAAAAGAGGCGACCGGCGACTTGGCGTCCCAGCTTGGTGAGTTGGTGGAGGTTAGAGCCGGAATGTCCGATGAGAAGGAGAGGTGAGCCGGGGAGATTTTTTTTCAGTTCGATCTGGACTTGTGCAGTACGATTGATACAGAGGGGTCGGCAAAATAGCGTGCCTAAAAGTGAAATAAAAAAACCAAAACTGAAAATTTAAAAGTTAAAAAAGAAAAGAAGGAATACTATACTTGTTTGGGATATAAATGAAATGATACGCTACACTCAAATATGGACCGTACCGGTAATTTGGGCCGACCCGTTCTAGTTTCTTACTCGGCCGGAGGCGGGAAGTAGCCACTCAAGAATCAGTTGAAGGAATCTGTTAAACACCGAAGAAATTTGTTGAAGACCCGGCGATGTGTATATACTCGTATCAGTTTAGGTCGTTCTCAACTTCTCATTTCTCAACTTCTCATTTCTCATTCCACAGATTCAAGATTCAAAATGCTCTTCCTTGTTCTGCTCCTGGCCGCCGCCGCTCTCATCGCGGCCGCCCTGATGGTACCCGCCGGCGGTCGTCGGCGTCAGCCTTCCCTTTCAATAGTGTTCTACAATTTCAACCTCGACATGGTGTTTTTCAAAAGATTTGAGATCAGGTTGGAGAGCTTGGAGATCCTCCAATTCGTACTCTTATGGTGCTGGTTGAGCCTGCACGGGTTGCGAGACACACCTGCTTGTACGATGGCCTATTCCGCGTTTCTAAGCAACCAACTTCCGGCCACTCTGCCCGGAGTTATCCGGACGGAGTACATCTCCGGTGACAGAGTTGGGGCAGAGCCCCCGGCGGAATTTCATCATCTAACAGCAATGAGGCTTGTCATCCGCGGATTCCTCCCCCAAGATTCACTGGTATGATATATTCAAATATTCAATTATGGTTCGAACTACGTTTTCTGACTTTAATAATTAATTCTCTGTTTTTTTTTTTTTTTTTTGATCATAGCTCATAGCCCCGTCCATGGCATCCGGCGTCATTCGTGGTGGGTTACCGTGGGGCACTTCGATAATCTTTTACAACACGAACATGGAAGTGGTCTTTCATCAAGGTCTGTCGCCCAGAATAGAGAACGCACAAACCTTGCAAGTCGTACTCCTAGCATCTTGGTTAAAGTTCTACGGCTTGGAGGAAGACCTCACTGTTGCACTGGTCAGGGGGGTATACCACACCGGGCAGATTCCGGCCGTTCTGCCCGGAGTGATCCGCATGCGCTACGTCTTGGACGATGACAGCTTTGGCACAGGGCCGCCCCTCCATTTAGATGATCTAGCTGCCGTCGAGTTGGTGATTGAGAGAGTCCTATACAACATATTCGGTTTTTGATTTTGGATTCGTATATACTTCTTGTTGCATGCAGATCGAAGAGTACGTTTGTGTGTTTCATAGAGTTTCTACATATTTTTTTTTGGAAAATTTTATGGTACCTATGTGAAACGGTATGTACCCGTACAAACTCCACATGTCACGTATGTAGAACAAGGTAAGGATATTGCAATTTAATCCCTAGAGTATATACACGTACACAATTTAACAACAATAACAAAAAAGTTAAAGAGCTCAAAAATGATTCCGCTCTCCTTTTTCGTGAAAAATCACATAAAATTTATTTCCAAGATTAAAACAGCTCCCACTCGTAACTTCGTAAGAAGATTAAAGAAGACATGAGAAGAAAAAAAGAAAGGTTGAAGAACACATCTTCTTTGCAGATGCAAAGTTAATAAATGTATCACCAAATTTGTCATTTTCCTCTTATCCATAAGGTCTCTAATTAAGAAGAAGGTATGAAACCTTCAATATTTTTCTGAAACTGAAAAAGTGACGAATTATTTTGGAATTGAAGATACAAAAACCAGGGGTATCATGAATTTGACATCGCGAAAGCTCAAATATTAAGTCAATTATTTTTCACATGAAAAAGCATTGGGAGAAGACGGCATGCAGGGCCGTGCCTTGTTTAAGGCAGATGATGAGATGAGGCATTGGCCTCAGGTAGGGCTGGACTCGGGCCGGTTCGGGCCCGATTCGGGTCTGGGCCCGGCCGGGCCTCGGGCCAGGAAAGGGGAGGCCCGAGCCCGAACCGCCGGTGGCCGGTTCCGGGCCAAACCGGGCCGGGCCGGCCCGGGCCGAACCGGCCCAATTTTTTTTTCTTTTTGTTCTCCTATTTAATCCCCTACCCCTCCCCCTCAACCCCAAACCATCCCAAACCACCTCAAATGGCCCAAAATACCTAATCCAACCTAAAACTTAAAAAAAATTCAAAAAAAAAAAAAAATTAAAATCCTGCCCGGACCGGGCCCAAACCGGCCGGGCCGGTTCACCAAAACCTGGGCCCGAGCCCGGACCGCCCAGCACCCGGGCCGGGCCAAACCGAACCGGTGGACCCACCAGGCCACGGGCCGGGCCGGGCCAAACAGTGACTGGGCCGGTTCGGTCCCGGGTCGGGCCGCCCGGCCCGAGTCCAGCCCTAGCCTCAGGCCCCAAGAAAAAGTAAAAATTTTAGGGCCCCAAATTTTTGATACTTTTATACTACAGACGTATATGCACTTCAAAGCGGCAAACCCACTTACCCAATAAAGGTGACCATCCCAATTTACTAGGGCAACACGGTGACGACCAACAGGGCAAGAGCCTAAAATCGAATAGCTCAAATCTCAAAGTAAATATTTCCATCTTATTTTGCCTAGATTTTGAATTTCTAATATTTAAATATTTGATCTACTGAATGGTTTTAATTTATAGATATATAGAAATTTAAGGTTTCAAAGCTACCAAAACACAAAAATCTTTGGTTCACTAGTGGTCGTGATTAAGTTGTAATGTGAATTGTAATTTTTTGTGTTAGAATCAAAGTTGAGCAGTGGATCATTGGAGAATGAACTTATCTATTAATCAGTAATCATATACTCTTTTCATTTCTTAAAATTTTGTCAAATTTGACCGATATATTAGGATTAATAAAGTAAAAATTATGTAATTGAAATTTGTGAAGAAAGCATTAACCGTAACTACAAATTATTTACTTAGAGCATCTTCAAAAAACAAAATTGATCAAGTTTTAAGGGATTAGAAAGTGAATTGAAAGTTAGTGATTTTGGCCTAGCTAATTTGAACTCAATATCAAGAATTGAAAGTTTTTTTCTCAAAGATATATATTTCCATGTTTAAATATTTGAAGTTTACATAAAACGTTTTCCAGTAAAATAATTACATTATAAATAGGTTAAGTTTTTCTAATATGCTAAAAAGAAGTCAAGAATTTATGATTTAACACATTTGTTTAACTAATGTTAATATATATATATATAATGGCATATATTGTAAAAATAGGTTTCTTAAAATTGAAGCTTATAAAGACATTTTTGTGACTAGATTATTGAAGAACTAGATTATACTCACTTAACTAATACTTTTGCAGTTAAAACGTCTAGCGATTTGTACCTGACAGGTTATTTGAAATAATTTGGCATTATTATACTCTAATAATATGTAGTATAAGAAATTCATTTAATTAGTTGTTTCTATGATGTTTAATCTTCAACTTCATAGAAAAATATACTGCAAAAAACCACTAATGTATAGGGCCTTTTATGAAGTTCGACTTAGGCCCGATTTAGGAAGGACCAGCACTGGAAGACGGAACAGGTCGAGTTTTTGGCTGATGAAGTTTTGGGGTGGGATTGCGGATTCAATTTAGGAATTAGAGCTTTTTATTTTATTTGAATTTGCCTAATATAAAGAATTATTTTGGCCGATTGGCAGAGATACCAAATTGGAAATGAATTTTTCCTCTCTGATTTTAGTACCCTGAAATAGTAATGATCTGCAACGCCGTGCACGGCGGTGAATTACCGATGAGTAAAGCAAATTCTCCATAATTTTAACCCACTATAAACTACGTACATCACAACTGGGTCCAAAGATTACAATCGTAGTGATTTCTATGCCCAAATTTGATCAATTCAAGTAATTAAAGGACAAAGAGGATGAATTGGCGAACAATTTGAGTGCTAAGAAAAAACAAATTGAAGAAAAAGAGATCATAGAAAGGACGAACATGATTTAACATATAAAGAGAAGCAAGTGAAAAAATATGTTAATAAAAGCTAAAAGGGTTAACTTGCAAATACGTAAAGTTTTATTTAACCCAGGTGACATTGCATCATTAAATAACGTGTCATGTTCTTATTTGTCCACCTCTAGTATGTACCAAAACATCCCACAAGCCAGATGCACTGAAGAGCTCCTTTTTTTTTTTTTTTTACCAGAGTTTATACATACTGATTTCCCCATTCGTTTGTTCTCTCTATTCCAATTTTCCTTGTTTTCCCATGGCGTACTCTTGTACTTTATTTTCCAAGTGAGTTTTTACTTCTTATCACTCAAGCTTTTAAATTAAAGGATCGTCCTGCTTAAAAAATTAAAAAAAAATACTCTCTTTGACCTAATTAAAATGAATTACAAAATCAAATCAATACATTTAGTTTTAAAATGAAGTATTGAAGGGAAGTTAAATAAGTATTGAATGGACAATATATGTTAAGAATAAAATAGCATCAAATAAAGCAATTAAAATATATATAGTAGTTTCTAACCGTTGTTAAGTTGCCCTTATTTTGTTTCTAGACAAAACTCTCATACACATTTTAATTTATTAGGAGGCTTCGTAACATAAATTTTGGTATTCAAAAAAGAAACTATGCGATTTTACAATGGGGAATTGTTGCGTGAGTACTACTAATAACCCATGGCACACTAATTTAATTATAATTCCTTTGCTTGACATATTTCCCTTAGCTCTTAAAAAAAGTTGGGCACTAGATATGTAGTACAGTCCAAACATGCATGATACATTTCACTTGGAAGTCCATGCATGCACAACTACGAATATGATTACGTTGTCGATCCTAGCATATCATGTGTTGAAGATCACATATAATGGCATATACGGGAGGATCAATGTATAGGTTATGGTGGACTGAAACTCACGTGCGACAGCTTACATATTTTTCAATTTTTTTAGTGTAACTTTTTATAGTTTTAGTCCACCCGCTAATGTTTAAGCCTAATATAATTACTTTTCAGTCCAGGGTATCCCGAATTCCCGGATCCGATCCTGGGCGTATATACGTGTTACTAGCATGTGAATACAAACTTTGGCTTCATCGGCATAGTATGGCCAGGGCTTAGCTTAATTGATAGAGGAGACCAAGACTTTGCATGTACATTTATAGCATTTATAGCCTTAATTAATGCCTTAGGTGGTCATATATACATGCATCATACAACCAAATATTTTTCACTTACTTTTCATAACCGGCTGATCAAGAATATAAATAAATTAAATAAACTTAATTATAAGAAGGAACGTACTAGTAGATAGCTAGCTATGTTTGAAGAATCGGTGTTGTAACTTGTAAGGAGGAGCTTTCAACCTAGTTATATTCCTTACAAATCTCTTCGTTATCATTATGAATGTCATTTTTTACTAGAAATTAGCATTCATTAAAATATTTATGCATCTTCATGTTTATAAAAAAATCTCCATATGTTCAAAAAAAATCTTCAAGTTTAATATGCATGCATTGCTTTATACAAGCGCAGCCCTAGGGGGAAGGGGAGAGGGCCCTAGTCCAAGTCTAAGTCTGAAAAAAAAAACTAGGTCTAAGTTTAGTTCTTTATAATAAGTTTGATCGAGTTGAATGATTTTTTAGTCCTAACCTAATAATGTTTTAAGGTTTTTCCACGTGGATTTGTTTGATCAAAATTTGTGAACATGTTCCACATGACGTTTAGAATATGTCCAAAAAATTCATTTTATGATTGAATCTAGATGTCAATTAAATAAATTAGGAAAAATTGACAACAATAATCTCACTTTTCACTTGTCTTCTCATAATAATCTCAGCTTTCCGTAATCCTAGAATAATCCCAACTTTGCACCTCATCTTCTTTCATTGGACCCTGACCAAGTCTTTTACTCTTCCTTTGAAAATCATATAAATAATCTCACCTTTCACTTTTTTATTATATCTTTATAAATATGAGATTATTTATATATGATTTTAAAACAAAGGTAAAAAATCTAGATGTCAATTAAATAAATTATAGAAAAAACATTGTATTTTTATTCATAATTTGGCGCATTATTTTTTAATAATTTATTTAAATAACTTCCGGTTGAATTTTAAGCTAAAACTTTGTGGACATAATTTAGATTTGATTAACAACTTTGTGGAAGCAGATTAGCTAATATGATTATTTGAGTAGTTTATAAAATTGATTTCATTCATAGTTGATTGCTTGATTTCTTAATTGTCGATTGTTATTTATTGGTATTGGTGTTACAATTTGTTTATTTTTTCAGAAAAAAGTCTCAAGGTGTAACGAGAATGATTGAATCTAGTTAGGATAAAGAAAAGAGAGAAAGATTATACAAGGCGGCGTTAAGTAAAAAAAGGTTCAATAGATAAGTTTGTTTGTGTAAAGATTTCAAATTATGA